GAGACACACACACACAGAGAGACACACACACACACACACACAGAGAGACACACACACACACACACACACAGAGACACACAGAGAGACACACACACACAGAGAGACACACACACACAGAGAGACACACACACAGAGAGACACACACACACACACACACACACACACACACACACGCTAGTTTACTTTCAAAAGAGAGAGAAATTAAATATAAAACTGAATGAAATAGTTGATGATTTGTCATTGAACGTCAACTCACCACGGCAACCATCTCAGCTGCGTTTCCACGGGGACAGCGAATGATCGGTACTGCACCTGAACAACAAAAACAACAACAAAACACACTTGTCTTGCAACTGAAATCAAGATGAATCTGAAGAAATGTACAAAATGGGTCAAACCGTGGCTAAAATATATTTTCTTGTGAAACTTCAAAGTTGTACCATTTCCCAAATAATTAATGTACCAGATTTCAAGACTTTCGTATAATCAGAACACATTTTGTGGTATTTTTACTTCTCATTCTATATATAGTATTTGCTAAACATATGGAAATATTAAAAACAACTTCAAGGACTCTGAGTGTTGCAGCATCCAAGAATTTAAGAAGTTAAAAAAAGATTGTTAATTACAGACAGAGATTAAAGTGAACACTGCCACCTGGTGGACAGAAACAAAACCACACTGAACAAATACAATTGTAAAACAAGATTACAGTTATAAAAAACTGCTTCAATCCGGATTAAAAACCAGGTGAGTTTAAGCAGGTCATTTCTGCCTGAAATAAACAATTAAACAATATTTTAAGATGGGTAACGATTCCTTTCCAGCTCACACAAACTCACCCAGAGTGACGAAGAAACAAAAGAGACTGTCCACGATGGTGTCCATGATGGCCTCCATGTCTGTGTCCTGGATGTCTGCTCTGTTAATGGCTGGAGGGGAGACAAGTATTTGTATTAAATCCATGTTATAACATCTTTGGTTTGGACCAAAAGGGAAGCATTGATCGTTTGTTCTTATGGATATGAACAAACCAATCACAAGCCATTCAGGAATAGTTAGACATGAATAGCTATTAATTACATAAGAATATATTTTGTATTTAAGTAACCCTCCCACTCCTGTGTGTGTTACCGTGGTAGGAGATGAGCTCTTTGTTTTGATGGCAGAGGGTGAACATGTCGTCCTCCAGAGTGATGAAGTTCAGGTACTGATCATACACCTGAAACACACACACACACACACACACACCAATGATCAGTTCTTCATTTAACACTGCTCCTGCTGACATTGGACAGTGCAGAGGGGAATTGTTCATTTACAAAAATTAGATAAAAATACAGAATCATCAGATACATAAATCTTAGTTCCTCTTCATTTCTGAATCCAAGGAGCTCTGGTGCTCTGAGACAATATCATTATGAATGCACAGAATGATGTACGAGGGTAACAATGGTCACCTTGGTAACTTGAGTGACAGCGTTAGCAGCCAGAGCGGCGCTGGCGATGTCCTCCAGTTTACTCCTGCTGATGGCAGAGATGAAGTTCATGTAGTACGACTCGTACAGCTGGTTCCTCAGGTCCTGCACACACACAGAAAATCATTAACACTATCCCTTACTAGAAATGGACATAACAGAATCAATCAATCAATGTTTATTTATATAGCGCAATATCCCAAATGTACAGTTTGTACAGAATATCAACACGACAATACGACACCCTCTGTCCTTAAGACCCTCACATCGTACAAGGAAACACTTCCAAAGAAACCCCACAGTTAATGGGGAAATGTTATAAACCTCGGGGAGAGCAACAGAGGAGGATCCCTCTCTCAGGACAGACAGACGTGCAATAGATGCCGTGTGTAAATCCAAGAGATAATACATTTACAACATAGGTAGTCCAAATGCTTGAAAATGCATGTGTCTATAATAACAATAGCCAATTGATTGTCTAATGGCACAAACGTAGCGCGCGTGCGTGTGTGTGGGTGTACCTGGCATATCCTGTCAATGTTCTCCTCTGTGGGCATGACGAAGAAGATGGCAGGAACGTCCGGGATTGGATCTCTGTCCGAGTGAAGCAGACTAAAAGAAACACACACACGAAATATAACACCTCGAACAGCAGGTTAAGCAACTTAAAAAAAAACATGTTTTGTGAGGACCGGTTTGAGTTTTAGACATGCGTTCTCTTTATGTAAACACATGTGTGTGTGTGTGTGTGTGTGTGTGTGTGTGTGTGTGTGTGTGTGTGTGTGTGTGTGTGTCTTACAGGTGCAGAGTGATGCCCATGTCTCTCAGCTCTTTGACGGTCAGCAGAGGGGAGATGATGTCCTGGCCAAACCTGTCGTAGATCAACACCTGCACACACACATAACATGACACACTTAAACTGATTTTTACGATTAAATACCATAAGATTATTTTTTATATATGTGGGAAACCTGACAAAGTGGTAATTGTGTTTGTCATAGATCAGGAACATCCCAAAATGTTATGTTAATCAAAGTGAATGGAAACCAAATCAGGACATCTCTGAACAAAAGAAAAGCAGAAATACCTTTCTATGCTCTTAACTCAAATGTTTGAATTACATTATTATATACAACATGTGTTTTACTTTGATGTGACAAATATTGAGTGTGTTGTTACCTTCCATACTGGCTCCGCTGCTGAGTTCTTCAGAGGAGGAGCGTTGAAGTTCAGCATCCGCTTCAGGGCGACTGCAGGTAAAAAACACAAACCGTTTACAGCCAGAGACACAAACAGCACATTGCAGAAGATATATGCAATATTATATATATATTCTATGCTACAGTGTTGGGGTTAGGTGGATCAATATTATTGTATTTACATCTTAAACAAGAGTGGAGAAACTCTGACATTAATATTCTGTAGTCATCTTGTGAGCACATTCTGCCCCAAATTAACTTGATGTGCTTTTTTTTTGGTCATTCGGTCAGTAAAAATGTTGTAATTAAGACTGATGCTCACCCTTAATATAGCAGATATGTTCAATTGGGGAAAAATAAATATTTGAAATGACTTATATTCCTGGTAAAACCAACAGAAAGTGCCTCTGCTTATTCAACCTTACAGATATGTCTTAATGTTTACAGATTATCTTGTGTAAACTGTCTTCCGACATGTATTTCTTATCAGTTACAATGAAGAATATTGTGTAATTTGCTACAAACAACATCGTTTTAAAAGGTATAATTAGGTTTTTAATAGGAATCCTGAGGTACTTAAATACAATTCAAGTAAAGATATCGGTAATAGACTGAAACACATTTTTGTGGTTTTGTCCTCCCATGATACAGCTGATCTTTTACATTTTGTGGAAATGCAGAACTATTTAAACTCAACCACAGTCCTGGTTGAAAGAACATTGAAAGCCTCTGTTTATTCAACACATCCAACCTTAAATATATATATATATATATATAGTTTTTCTTACCTATTATCTCTTGTAAAAAATGGCTTCTGACATGTATTTCTTATCAGTCACAATTAAGTATTCTGGTTTATTGGTTGCTTAAAATGTACATAATTCACGTTTAAGTGTAGCCACATCACAACAACAGCGTTCTAAAGTTATACTCAGATATAATTAGGTATTTAATACAAATCCCGAAGCACTTAAATACTCAGAATTGTAACAAATCACAGGTTAGCAACAGGCTAGCTTCACCTAGTTAGCTAACATTGGCATTACAAACCTAGCAAGCTAACAAGCTATGCTGCTAGTTAACGTACATCTTAACTAGTGCACAGTCTGGTTAGTTGATCAGTTAATTCATCTGTGAGTGGAGGGGAAGTATTATGAGTTTCTGTTTCTGTAACGTTTGTTAAGAAGCTCAACTAGCGGCTCATTTGGTTAGCTTCGTTAGCTGATTAGCAGCAGGACAGTCATCAATGAATCCTTCGGTTCAAACACCGGGTCCGTTAGACTGTCTTCCCCCGGTTACAGTCGCTGTCTGCGGCTGGAAAATAACCGTTAAGAGGGGAAATAAAGAGTTTGACGAACCTGTCTGCTTCTCCCGGACAGACGCCGCCATCTTTGATGTTGTTGCGTCTGATGACGTGGCCGCAGCCGGCAGAGATAGAGGGAAGAGAAGAGGTCTCACTCTGATGATGTTTCCAGACACCGATAAGGAGATAACAATTAAAGACGTCTCACTCTGATGATGCTTCCAGACACCGATAAGGAGATAACAATTAAAGACGTCTCACTCTGATGATGCTTCCAGACACCGATAAGGAGATAACAATTAAAGACGTCTCACTCTGATGATGCTTCCAGACACTTATAATGGGGTGTAATTTAAAGAGGTCTAATATATTAATTCCTGTACATTTTGTAATCTACAAGAAGAGACTATTGGCCATTTATTTTATGAATGCTTGTATTGTAGAATATTGTGGTATGATGTAGAATGTTTTATTAGGAATAAGACGGGACAAAAGGTTCAAATCCAGGACCAGGCCCCAGCCAGGCCCCAGCACAGTAAGTACTTTTACTTTTGGTACTTTAACTATTTTTGTATGCCAATACGTCTCAGTTTATGCTGCTTTATACTTCAACTCCACTACAATTTGGAAACCAGTATTGTACTTTTTACTCCACTGCATTTATTTGACAGCTTTTAGTTACTATAGATAGATATATTAATAGATCATTCAAAACATAAATCAATTATTAAATACACTTTGACAGATATCTCTAGGTTAGGATATCCAGCAGCAGGACATCAAGTTATTACAATGAGCTCTACATTTACTAACTGTGATAAAACACATCAATAATCATTATAGTAACTCAATGCCATTCTGAAAAGGGCCATAATAAGGAGTACTTTTCATTTGGCTACTTTAAGTATATTTTGATACCAATGAGTAACAGAGTATTTTTACCCCGTAGTATTTCTACTTTTACTTAGTAGAATATCTGAGTACTTCTTACACCACTGCTACCATGAGTGTGGAGCCGTGTGCTACAAAAGCCTGCATTTAAAACAGATATTTTACAGCTGAAGACTGTTTTCAAATGTAGAGCAGGTTGTGAGCGAGGCTCAGTTTGTAAATGAGGAAACAGTTCAGAGTGTCTGCTCTTCCTCCTGGAGTGAGTCAGAGTTTGATAAGCCCTCCCTCTCCTTCCTGCTCTCAGACACAGCCAGCTCCACTCTGTGTTTCCTGGCTCCTCCCCTTCAGATCCACACTGAGGAGGAGGGGTGTAACCAACATGTGGGTAAAGCACAAGAGCTGATAGGCCACATTCACTGCTCACACACGTGCTGTTCAGATCACAGCTCACATAGTTTCAGTTCTCAGGAAGTGAAACTCAGACACTCGCTGCTACTGAGAGGTGAAATGGCGCAGAAAGGAGTTCAGCTGGACCGGGAAATCTTCTCTTGTCCGATCTGTCTGGATCTACTGAAGGATCCGGTGACTACTACCTGTGGACACAGCTACTGCATGAAGTGTATTAAAGGCTTCTGGGACGGAGAGGATGAGAAGAAGATCCACAGCTGCCCTCAGTGCAGGCAGAGCTTCACACCGAGGCCTGTCCTGCTGAAGAACACCATGTTAGCAGCTTTAGTGGAGGAGCTGAAGAAGACTGGACTCCAAGCTGCTCCTGCTGATCTCTGCTATGCTGGAGCTGAAGATGTGGCCTGTGATGTCTGCACTGGGAGGAAACTGAGAGCCTGTAAGTCCTGCCTGCAGTGTCTTATATCTTATTGTGACCAACACCTCCAGTCTCATTATGAATTGCCTGCCTTTAAAAAACACAAGTTGGTGGAGCCCTCCAAGAAGCTCCAGGAGAACATCTGCTCTCGTCACGACGAGGTGATGAAGATGTTCTGCCGCACTGATCAGCAGTGTATCTGTTATCTCTGCTCTGTGGACGAACACAAAGGCCACGACACGGTGTCAGCTGCTGCAGAGAGGACTGAGAGGCAGAGAGAGCTGGAGGGGAGTCGACTAAACATCCAGCAGAGAATCCAGGACAGAGAGAAGGAGGTGAAGCTGCTTCAGCAGGAGGTGGAGGCCGTCAATGGCTCTGCTGATAAAGCAGTGGAGGACAGTGAGAAGATGTTCACTGAGCTGATCCGTCTCATGGAGAAGAGAAGCTCTGATGTGAAGCAGCAGCTCAGATCCCAGCAGAAGAGAGAAGTGAGTCGAGTCAAAGAGCTTCAGGAGAAGCTGGAGCAGGAGATCTCTGAGCTGAAGAGGAGAGACGCTGAGCTGAAGCTGCTGTCTCACACAGAGGATCACAACCAGTTTCTGCACAGCTACCCCTCACTGTCAGCCCTCAGTGAACCTACACACTCCTCCAGCATCAACATCCGTCCTCTGAGCTACTTTGAGGACGTGACGGCGGCCCTGTCAGCAGTCAGAGACAAACTACAGGACGTCCTGAGAGAGGAATGGACAAACGTCTCACCGACTGAAGTGGAGGTTTTACTGTCAGCAGCAGAGCCCACCACCAGAGCTGGGTTCTTAACATATTCACAGGAAGTCACTCTAGATCCAAACACAGCATACAGACGGCTGTTATTATCTGAGGGGAGCAGAAAAGCAACACTCATGAAACAACGTCAGTCTTATTCTAGTCACCCAGACAGATTCACTGATTATGAGCAGGTCCTGAGTAGAGAGAGTCTGACTGGACGTTGTTACTGGGAGGTGGAGCGGAGAGGGGGGATAGTTTGTGTTGCAGTCGCATACAAGAATATCAGCAGAGCAGGGGGGGGGGCTGAATGTTTATTTGGACACAATGACAAATCTTGGTCCTTATTTTGTAGCCAAAACAGGTATTCATTTTGTTACAACCGTATCCTCACTCCCGTCTCAGGTCCTCTGTCCTCCAGAGTAGGAGTGTACCTGGATCACAGAGCAGGTGTTCTGTCCTTCTACAGCATCGTCTCTGAAACCATGACTCTCCTCCACAGAGAGCAGACCACATTCACTCAGCCGCTACATGCTGGGGTTCGGCTTTGTAATCAAGGAGCCACAGCTGAGTTGTGTAACCTGAAATAGCCTGAAGTCATTTGAGGAACTCTTCTACTTCTTAAAGTCACCGTGTGTCCATCAGAGCTGATTGCTCATGTCTTCACTGCACAGAGATCAGCTGTCAATCAAACATGATGGGATGTGCTTGAACATGTTCTCATGAGTTGTTGTAGATGTTGGAGTTCCTTTAGGCGGCGCTCCTTCCTGTCTCTGTTTAGCCATGGAGGCTGATTGAAGAAGGAAATCAAACACATTCAAAGAAAAGTCATTCAAAAGAAAAGCTAACGGGTTGAGTTTGTAATGAATTATGTTTCTATTTTCAAGATGTGAGATGAGTGCCACATTAACACATGTCTGTACTAAATAATATGTTGGGGTTTTACTTAATAAAGAAATAAGAGGACAAAAGTGAAAATCTCAGTCTTTTGTTTTTTAATTATAAAAATATCTCTTTATTTAAAACTTAAACATCGAATGTAAAGTAATAAAAGGTCAAATATATTTTCTTCTTGTTCTTCAGAGAGTGATGAAAACTGCTGCAACACTTTTTAGAGCGTAACACCGGGAGGATGTTGAAACCAGAGCTGAAAAAGGTGTACTTGAACAAGATGAAAAAGCATCTGTTGCTAAGATGTAGCAGGAAATAAATAATGGAGGCTGGAGGCCGTTTCTCTCTCTGGAAGGTATTGAAGCAATATGCTCATTTTCCATTACAAATATTAATATAACATATTTAAAGTATTAAAATGCAATAAAAAGAGGTGTGTCCTCTGCAGCCAGTGGAGTTATTTTATCCAGCACTGATTTTGAGTCATTAGGTCACATGATCTAGAAGTTATTGAAGAAATATGCAAACGTTTCCATCAAAATATTAATAAAACGTATTTAAAGTATTAAAATGCAATAAAAAGAGGTGTGTTCAACAAATGTATGCTCTAGAGTGGATTTGCTTCACATTCACACGATCGGGAAGCTGTCGATTTATTAAAAAAGAACATTTTTGGGAAGTTGTCGATTTATTAAAAAGAACATTGTTCTTGTGTAATTGAAAAGTATTTTGATGGTCCCTAAGTGAAAGCCTCGTTTCGCGGAGAAGATCTCCCCGTCGTAATACAGCCAGCAGCAGGGGAAACTGACGCTGCTGGCTGGTCCGCGAAAGTCTGTTGAATATCCAACCTAAAACTAACTTCACCGCGGTATTAAATTATTGAGGGAGAATTGTCCGGGGCTAAAGAAAAAACACCCGGGGCTTCCGTTATCTCCCTCAAGGTAGGACTCGCGGTTTTATGGTCTTTTCAATGAACCTTGTTGTAGCAAACACCTAGGTGGTGGCTGAAAGCCCCCCCCTCCGCTACGCGCCGTTCGTTAGATGAGGCTGGTTCTATTTAATGAAGAATGGAATTCAAAACACCGGAATTAATTATTTATTTATTTAATATACTGGACAATTCTTGTCTTTACTCTTAACGTCCTTATTGTATTTATTTGAAAGCCCTGTCCTTAATTCTAAGTTTCCAGTGTGCAATAGTTCAGAATATTGTAACACTCCCTGTTCGCCACCAGAGGGCAGCAGCTGACCACGAATGAGCTTCTCCTCTCTGGTTGAAGTCTGCAGACTTGCCTACACAACTCTCCTCTTGGCTTTTCTCTCAATTATTACACAGATTTGACTTAAAAAATCACAGAGTTTATTCCCTTATACAGACTTTGTACTATCTGAATTCTATCTCCGTGTACTACTTCTTTTCTAAGTATGTACTGTGTACAGAGTGGTGTTCTTAAATTATGTTTGCAGTTTTACACACATTTTATCCCCATACAGTCAGGCAGATTTTTATTGTGCGATGTATATTTCAACAGATAGCGTGACTTCCTGAAGCAAGCTTCTACAACCCCCTTACGGCGATTGCGGCTTCAGGCAAGGAGTCGGAACTCAGTCAACAAAATCTCTTTATCGTCACGTTTAATGAGCCTGATGAACCCCACAGCAAGAGTTGTGATGAGATTCGGTCGTTCCAAATAGTTAGTTGGAGGTCGCGTCTCTCTCCTCTTGTATCACCCACAATATAACAATTCTAGCAATTTTATACATGTAAAGCACTACCAAGGCAACCGTATTAATCAATCTTTACTTGACTTACGGGGATTTTAACCCATCTGTTTTTTACGTACTTGCAGTCTTTCTTTTTAGTGAGTTAAGGCACGGGACTTAGCTACCCACCTCTTACAAACACTTTGTGCCTTAGGTACAGGAATGCTCTACCTGACTCTAAGCACTTTCCCAACTAGAATATGTATTGTATTTCCTACCGTGACTAAGAACACTGAGAACGCCGCTGACCACTCTAAAATGTTGTAGTATAATCAATCACAGATTTTTGATAGTCAAAACAGGTGTCTGCTCACCTTTTGTATATAGCGCGCTTGGTGTAGTTGTCAACGGTATCTCGGTATCCTCCCCTGGACTGAATTCCGTCCGCTGGCTCTCGGTGTTCCTTTCTAGAAATCAGCGCTCATCACGTCGCAGGTCATCATTTGTTGTAGCAAACACCTAGGTGGTGGCTGAAAGCCCCCGCCTCCGCTACACGCCGTTCGTTAGATGAGGCTGGTTCTATTTAATGAAGAAAGGAATTCAAAACACCGGAATTAAAGGTTATAACAATAATCTGATTTTACTGGTAAGAAACAAAACACGTATACAAGTTTTACAGAGTACTCCGGACTTCAGGTTTCTACTGCGGTGCGATACAGGTATCGGGACCAGCCAGTCAGCAAACAGGAAGCATTTTACATGCAAAAACAACAGTATTCATATTCATATTTTGGGGCGGAGATGTGTTGACTTCTTCCTTCCCATTTTACTCCGAAGCGAATCAGAGAGTCCGTGGGGAGGAGCTGTGTGAGCTGCTCACTCCCCCAGGTGTTTCTACTGGTTGGATTCACTTCTGGTCGGGTTCAATACAGCGAATCAGAATTCTGACCAGAACGTGAGATTCTGAAGTTCACAAGGGCAGAGTCAATCTTATCTCTGCACCTATATTCACTCCCTTACTTTCCCATGGAATATTTCACATAAACTATTCTTTCTCAGACAATTAAACATTGTGCACAGATATAATGATGCCCAGAAAGAACCTTGAAAAGAATATGTGTGTGTGTGCTGGTGGGAGAAGGTGTATGGGTGTGTAACAGGATCTCTGGGTCAGTGAGTTGTAAGTGAGAATACAATATCTATATATGTGATTACTTAAAACAGTTCAAACAATACATGTTCACTAAAATACAATTCAAAATAATACATGTTTACTTCAATACAGTTTAGAACCATATCTGTTTACTTCAACCTATGGAAGTGTCTCAGGTCAGTTTGGATTTGATTAGGGCGAGGGCAAGATACGTTTTCCCATCATGGAGGGAAACTCTTCAGACATTCAAAGCACGAGACTAGAGGCCTGTACTACGAAGCTGGTTCAACCCAGCGCCATATAGAGAGAGAGTTATGACAGCGGAAGTCCAAAATGCTTGATCGTCACGTGGTTCAGGGAGAGTCAATAGTTCGCCGGAAGTTCGTGGCGGGACATATGAATGCATGATTACCGGAGATAGAACTACGATTTTTGGTAATAAGTAGTGAATAAAGGTCTTGATTTGCAATATTTATACAACATACCGATATGTGTATGTATTTACATCAATATGTTTTAAAAAATAAATAGAATCTGCTAATATTTATGGATAATATTAGGAATAGTGTGAACAGCTAGTTTACTATACATGTTAGGCTGTTGCCTTGGTTAAAGAGCCTGTTGCTGTTGTGTATTGCTTTGAATTATTTAAAACAAATATTATCTTCTTAAACAGGTATGGTAGTCAGGTGCATCACTTCCTAATGTTTATTGATATATTTAGAGGGAGGGGATGACAAGGAATGCTTCAAAATTTAGATTAGATTCATTTCTACCATTTTTTTAATTCATGGTGGTTTCAGTAATCCCATGGTACTTGAGGACATAAGTAATCTAAATGACTAATGTCATCTTTATGACTTTCAGAAAGGACAGGAGACCAACAGGTGACTATCAATGGACTAACAGCAACATGATTATGACGTTAAAAGTGTTGTTTTAGGAACATCCATTGTAAATACATGGAATTCAATAAACATTGAATAGCATGTCATGCAGTTTGTCTGTGCCTTTTCCTCCGTGTTGTCCTGGCATATCGTCTCCACCATGGATTGCTGTGCTGCCTGGGGATGCTCCAATCGCTCAGAGAAAGGAGTAAGAATCAGAATGTACGGCTTCCCCACTGACACAGAGAGGAGGAACAAATGGCTAGCTCAAGTCAGCAGGAGCAATTTAACAATCAAAACAGACAGCCGCAACAAAATATGTGAGGTAATCATATTCAAACACTGCATTTGCACTTTTTCCACAAAACGAAGACCACACCATTGGGAAGCTTAATGTTTGGTTTAATACAAATAACAGGGAAAGGCTTGAAGAACTCTGAGAGTTGAGACTCAGGGTGCAGGGTGAGGGTCTCAGTGCAGGTATTCAGGCTCTATTGAATCCCCCTCTGGTTCTTGTGCTGAAAGAGGGAGGAACAGACAGGAGAAAGGGTTATACACACCTATATAGCACACCTATTGGATGGGAAATTGCCTTGGGGAGATTAGGTGTGGTCTTTGTTTCCAACTGAAGTTATGGAACTTTATTATTTGTGAGTTTAACAAAGTATGACAAATGGCATCAGTAATGGATGTGATATGAATTTGTATAAAGTTGTCTCACATTCTTGGTCGTATTTTACGTACAGTATGTAATGAGTGTATACATGTCCAGTAAGTCCTCCACCTGTAACATCCCTGCCCCTCCACCTGCCATACAGTAGGTTACTAATATACACTAACAAGATTACTTATATAATACAGTGATAGAATACATGTTTAGTATGCTTACTTATATACAACAGTAGTATTACATGTACCTTGTGTTTTCACTCTCACTTTGCCATCATTTCAAAATCAGCTGAGCTGCAACATAATACAGACAGGTAATAATCAACAGAATACACTAAAAACACTCACCCATAAGTTACGTTTTTGTTTACCGTTTGGAAGTCTCAAATATGCACTCTAAATTCATATCAAATAGCTCTCTTCCTTATTATTGTGTAACGTTAACTTTATTATACTAGTTTGTAGGCCTACTCCAAAATGGAGATCGTAATTTCTCCACCTCCACTCATTACAATCACACGTGCCCCAATGTTATATTTAACTAATATTATATTCCTCCACCCCACAAAAAAAGCACGTTTAGAAGCCCTTTTTCTCTAATTCCACAACGTTGGATGAAATAACATTAGAACGGATTAATAGCTGTTCATGGTTAACGTGTGTTGCTAACTTTATCCGGTATCCTAGCCTAATCTGTTATCTGTAAACGTTCCCTAAATCTACTGATTTAGGGATAATCCACTAACATCCTTTAATACACATGTTCATTTGACTCAGATGTGCTGATAATATCTGCAATATAAATCTTTAAACGTCTTCTTACCTTTAAAAGTCCATCACGAACGGTCTATTATGCTGCAACTCTACTGTGTTGCTGGTCGCAAAAGTTCCCCGGAAGTCAGCGGCAAACTAACTTCCGGGAACTATTGACGGCTCCACGATCCGCCATTGCTGTAAAAAAACTGGTCCATTGGAGTGAACGGAGATGTCGTAACTCTTCTATTATACGGCTCTGGTTCAACCTAACCTGGATATGTTTGAGTTAGCCGGTTGGCCCAATCCAAAACATACGCGCTCTCGCTAAGCTGTACTACGACGCTGGTTATCAAGTGGATCGCTCAAGCCAGCCGTGTCCTATCTAGTTAGGTGCGCGTTCACATGAAAGGGGTGGTATCTGGAGCATTCGACCAATCACAAACACGGACAAGCGTACTGACAGCGCAGCGTCATACTTCCTGAATGAAAAGTGAACTTTAATATTAGTCAAATATGAAGTTAAACTTTAAACATCCATGACTTAAACACTTTATCCAGGATCAAAGCCACATAGCTGCACCTGCAAGGTGAATACAGCTGGTAACAGAGAAAGTGTTTGAATGCGTACATTAACAGGTTTATGAAATCACTGCCCCGTCTAAGACACGATCTGACTTTAATTACATTTGACTCCAGTGTTTCGTCAACTTAATGTGTTGCTTAAAATAATACTTCTGCATCCGGTATGTGACACTGTGAGTGTTGCACGGCCAGATACGGCTCAGCTGACTCAGATAAGGAAATATATGATACATTATGTAAGGGATAATGTGCAGCGATGCGGTCATTATGGGGAAAAGAACACCGACAGGCTGATCAGGAGCCCGACGCGAAGCGGAGGGATCTAGATCGGCATGAAGGTGTTCTTCATAATGACCAAGTCGCTGCACATTATCCGCTTATTACACGGCCACATTCTCAACAAAGTAATGATATGACTCCCACTATTAATTGAAATGCTTTTATGGATTTAGAAAATGATTTTATTGATTTAAAAAATAGTTGTATGTATTGATTTAAATTGACATGCATCCGCTAACAAAAATAGTCCGTTGTTACTGTTTGAACTAACGTAGCAACGGCAGGAACTGCTTCGATAGCGTTTTTGAGGAGCTTTTTGATTACAGATTTGAAAACATCGTTGCTTGCTTTAAAAGTAGCACAATTCATTATGTCAAACCTTGGAAAGTATCTAGATATCCCTGCCCTAATGCAAAAGTAACTGGCAACTGAATATGTGTCGCCGTTTGATGTCTATGTCTGGACCGCTGCGTAAAAAAGGAGGGTTTCTGCCCGTTAATTCTCCGCTGTTTTCTTGTCGCTCTTGTCTTGTCAGTTCGAAAAGCAAACTGCATGCAGTTTGCTTTTCAGCCAAACTGTATGCAGTTCAATCGACCGGACTTCTTTCTGCAGATTTGAGCGTCCTTAACAACGGTCATAAATCCTTGACAGCGGTCTGTCTGTTCTGGATTAACAACGTGTCACGTGTTCTGAATTGACCAATCAGAATCGAGTATTCAACTAAACCATGTAATAAGATGTGATATGATATGAATGATAATTGGACACATCTACGTCTGCACTCACAGTGCCGCGGACTGTACTTAATGTTACTCTGATCCGGTTACTTATGTTGTGGCAGATATTTAAGTAAGCTTTCTTAACGCTAATGTTATAATAGTCAGATTGCTCTGAAGATGGGAGGAGGGGATATTCTATTAATGTTCACGTTCACACAGTCAGTTGATTTTTGCCGGCCGTCTTTCCTGCAACGGCAGTTTTTCTGTATTTCCTCTATCCTGTAATATGAATTGATAGCTTTAAACTCCGCACACGGAGCTCTGATTGGTCAGCAGGCGGTGCTTTCACTGAGTTGATCTCTTAGCCTGCAACCTAACCTCCCGAGTAGGTTTGCCGCTCAGCATCAGTTACCATGGAGATCTAGCCCGCTAAAAAGAGAACCAGCGTCGTAGGACTGGAAAGCCTGAGTTTTCCCTGAAGTCAGCCGGCTAAGAGAACATCCTGCTTCGTAGTACAGGCCTCTGGTCTGTTACAAGCAATGTGTTTTTAATAGAGGCGAAGTCTCTCCCTTTCCGGGGGAGATCCATGGGACCTTATTTCGGAAAAAGTATGTATTGAAGTCAATGGAGAGAGAAAGATTATCTTTCGATCCCGTTTGAATTGTGCCACGAATTACACATATGATGTTTGTCAATTTAAAAGATAATTTTGCAAGTCAAAAAAATAAAAATGTGTCGTAAAAATGTGAAGTAACACTTTGTTTTGTGTGAAACCTCTCAATGAACTACATCTCCCGTCTCTCACCACACACCAAGACGGCCGTCACGTTGGCACATTTCACTTCTTTCTTTCAGAATGAGGCGGAAAGTATTAAAAGATGTGAAAATCACTCCAAGTCTGGGCATGTTGAGAGCTGTACATACACACAAGGGGAGTTAGTCGGTTCCACTGGCCAGAGGAGCCCGGAGCTCATCAGGGCACATGTCACCTGAGCGGAGCTGCCACAGGAGGCACCGTAATGTTAAGGCACGAACACACCAGGATGATTATCGGCGTCGGTGGGCGTCAGGCCGACGATGAGCGTTGACACGCCATACTCAGATTGGTGTGTCCCGCACCTTCGGGTCTTTTCAACCGTGCCCACACAGTCGGCCAAAGGCAGTTGGCAAAATAAATCACTCTGGCTGTTCAGCTAGCGAATCAGTGCATGAGAAGCGAAACGGAAGTGAGGGACCCAAAAAAACTAAGAAGGCAAATCTGAGATTTCATTTAAACTGTTAAGCCTGTTTTTCAGGTTTCAGGCTCGAAAATGACATGCCCAAAACAAATGACTATAACTTAACTTCTAAAAGGGTTATATGAATAATTTATTTTATCAAAGCAAGGTTACATCTGTGAGTTGGATGTAGAAGTGTCAGAATCAATATAGATGTTTGTGTCAAGAGTACATTTAGATGGAACATAGTAAAAAAAAGAAAAAGTTAAATTCTTACCTCCGCCTAAAAAAAACAACATTATAGTGAAAACCACCCTTGAATGATGGGATGGTAGACTAAAAGCTTGAGGAATCCAAAGTATAACATAATAAGTACCCTGTATCAAGATTGATGCAAAACAAGTGAAATGTTACCTTTTTAGAGGTTTAGCAAAAAAAAGTCCAGGCAGACTAAACTTTGGGCACATTTGGATACCATCAGTGCCATTTGACCTTTTCCAGGTACCATACTGTAAAAATCATTTTATTATCACTAGGTATTCATTCCATCCAAATACAACTGTTTTTATAAAAAAAAAAAAATGTCCTTACATGTTTATCACCCGACTAACACTTCTAGGAAGGTTTACTTACACAATAAAAATTAGGAAACATAGCATAAATTTGTCTCCAACAGGAGCAGATTTATTTCAAACATAACACACTATACAATAAAACGACGAGATCTTTTTTGTAATAAACACTCGCAAAACGTAGTCGGAGGAGTGCCACGCCTTGAAACAGTTCTTTCTTGAAGTGAAGCACAGAGGGACCTGGCAGTGCAGTACACAGGTGTCTTCACCGTTTTGTTGCCAGCATTAGAGCACTTCCTGCAGTACCTCCTGACCGTGGTGGCATCTTCCTCATAATACGAGGGCAAGCATGTGAGTGAGGGGGAGTGGTGGTGGTGCTGCAGGGTCTTCACCCATCATTTCTGCAGCCAGCTTCTCCCTGAAGGACTTCTGGGTGTGTGGCTTCGTCCTGCCGGGGTCACCCCTCATCTTGTGCAGCTCCTTGTGGAGAAGGAAGCTGTTCACCACTGCAATGTCCAGACAATGGTAAAAAAAAAAAGTCTTGTACCATTTCATTGTTTTGTGGTGAACGCTGTAGTATCCAATCAAAGCATCGGACACATCCACGCCGCCCATGCTTCTGTTGTAGTCCACCACAGCGTCAGGAACGGTAACAGTCTTAGTCTGCCACACACACCACGCTCTTTCACGTTCCGTCTGACCGCTGATGGCTGCATGCACATGGTCACTTCACGGCTGTCCATCCACTTTACAAACAGGAGCTTGCTTCTCCAACGCAGATCTCCCCTTTCAGCCTTTTTCGGAAGGTCGTTCAACTCAGTCTGTGGAAAACCAACCAACTCGATTTTTTCGAATGGTCCCACAACAGCCAATGTTTTTTGTGAACAAATCCCCAAAGAGGGCAGGTCTTGTGTAAAAGTTGTCCACAGAGTGTGTAGCCCGCACCGAGCAGAGGGAAAGGCAGGAGGTCCATCACGGAGGTGTAGCTGAGTCCCTGGCCTGAGAAGAACGCACTCTTCCCTGTGTACACAAAGAAGTTCCATGTGTATGCCGTGGAGGAATCTGCCAGCACAAACAGCTTGTAACCCCACTTTGTTGGCTTATCCTTCATGTACTGCTTCATGCTGATGGGGGCTTTGGAGGCGACCATCCTGGTGCAGACGTCCGGCGTCGTAGCTTAGATGTTGATGGCTCTGGGGCAGCTGTATGCTGATCTGATGTTGATGGCTGTGATCCAGAAGCCATATCATACTCGTCTTCATCACTGTGAAAACAAATGTGGAAAAAACAAAATCGATTACTTTACTCTTGCAAAAATGTAACTCAAATCAGAAATAATTCCTCTAAAACAGCAGAACATCCATTTTGCGTGAGTGAAATAACAGTACATCACTCACAATGCATGCCCTGTAAATTCCGTGAGACTGGGTTGACATACAATACAGCTTTATTTATATACTGCCGTGTTATAGTCACGAAATACAATTAATATTCATGTTAACACGATTTTCCCATTGTTTTCTTGTCTCAGAACGATTTCTCTAGAACAACAAAGCGGCGTCCATTTTGTAGATTGCGAGTGTGGAATTACTATAGATGAATACTATTACACCAAATGCATGCAAACAGAGAGAGTACATACCTTTCCCGAAGTTCATAATCAGGGTCCAATTCTGGCTGGAGTAGATCATCATCTGACGAAGAGTCAGCGAACATCATTTCCACGGCCTCTTCGGTGTTATACTTCTTATTTCTGGCTGCCATTATTTGCTCAAATAAGTCCTAAAAGCAAAGAAATCCTAGTCCTTGTAATATTATGTTCTGTTGCCTGCTGTCGTCTCTGTCGTCTCTGTCGTCTCTGTGCTCTCTGATCGCTGCTGTGGTGCTGCTGCGTCATGCAATAGACGTAGTGCGTAAAGTAGCCGGAGCTAGCATAATTTATACTACGCAGGATCCTATCTCTGGAACCCATTGGTCGATTTGGGTGATTGACACCTTTTTTGAAACGTTAGAGCCAATAGAATCGAGTGGCATTTCCTAAATCCGTCTTAACATTTACGTTGAGGAGGGAGAGGTTTGCGTAAACAGCATGTGCGACAGCATTAGCCCCGGACTGCTAAACTTTATACCTACTCTGCTGCCATGAATGTAATGCTGGATTATCAGGAACAATTCTAAAGTGACTAAGAGACATTGGATTAACCTTGAGCAGCGTTTTTATTCCCTTGAACACGACTTTTGATCACAAAACAGCAACGGTAAGACATCATTATTGTTATGGTTTTGAAAACTGTTGTTGTTTTCTTGCTCTGTTCTGGGTGCTAGCTCAGTGAGTTCTGGTCGTGCAGTGATGAGACTTATACCAATGGAATCTGTGGAGTCTCAGCTTTTAGATGATATGTCGTGTGCAGAAAATATGAAGTTTTAAAGATCGTTTTTTCTAGTTATCACCGGAAGTAGCATTAGCCCGTTTTCGCTAAGGGCTCATTTGGACGCTTCTTGTGAGACTTGTGTTTTGTTTCGGTAAAAATGGCTCTCATCGGCAGGTAGCCGAGTTTCTTCCCGTTAATTGAGTGCGACACATTCAAAGGTTTTTAAATATTGAGAAGCCCCCAGACGCTGTCTCCTGCAGTGATGCGTTTTTCTGCCCGGGGGCTTAACAGGTTAACTCCAGCTCTCGACAGAGGTTGGGGAAAGCCCCATGAGCTTCTGGCTGTAGAGTGAAAATGGAACACACGCTATTTGTTGTTTGTTTATATCACGCAGTCTGTTCTTCTTCTCTCGGTGTATCACGCAGTCTGTCTTCCGGTTGTTGCCTCTTTTGAATGACGAATACACACTACCGCCGCCTGCTGGTAAGGACAGTTATTGCCACTCACGCATGCGCAGTTCGTACGTGCTTCTTTGGTCCGTCTGTGTCAGTTCTTTGTTGTCAGATTGGTGTGTCCGGGCCTTTAGACTGATGCGGCTTTCACACCGGCGCTTTTCACTTTCTAGCTCCAAGCGAGAGCTTTTCTGGTTCAGCTCCCGTTTCCCTTTTCAGCTCCCGCTCTGTTCACACCGCTCACACCGCTCAAGAGCCGGGATGGTACTGCGTCATTGCCTCATCGTTTGCGTCATGACGTAACCGTTTACGTGCCTGCTTCATAAAACCCAAACCGCGCGGAAATCACAACAACAATGGCCGATTGTATTGAAGCGCTGTTCGCTGTGGTTATCCTCTTACGAAACGAAATGGAAGGCATCGGACGACTTTACAAGGGACGACTTTACTTGGAACTTTACAAACATCACATGGGAAATGCAAGACTTCTTTGTGGTCTTCAGGATCTACTTGAACAACGATTCCGTAGGAAACGGAAGGTAAATATACGTCCTATTCGATGGCGTTAAAGCTAGCTGTTGTTAGCCTCTGCATGCGCCAAGCTCAAAATACCCAGTTTTGCAGCATTAATTACTATGGTATAACATTAAAACGGATTCTCAATGTTATTTCCACAGATCATGTTGAAGCTGGTCGCGTGTTATTTGGACACAGCCCAGATCTTCCGATTGGTGGAACACCATTGCTTCAGACTTCTCCCCTCAGCAATTCATGCAGAATTTCCGAGTGTCCAGGGACTCCTTTGAGTACATCTGCAACCAGCTCGGCTGCGTTTTGGGGAGAAGAAACACAAATTACCGTCGGTGTATAACCACTAAAAAACGGGTTGCAATTGCCCTCTGGAAGCTGGCCACCGGCGGAGAATACAGGACCATCAGCCATCTTTTCGGGGTAGGCCTAAGCACCGTTGGCGTCTGTGTTCAGGATTTCTGCAGGGCAACCATGGAAGTTCTGCTTCCACTACATATCAAATTCCCTAATGTGGAGAAGTTGGTGGAAATGGCCACTTTTTTCAACAACCGTTGCAGAGCACCACAGTGTGTTGGTGCAATAGATGGAAGCCACATCCCTATTTTAGCACCAGAAAATTATCCCAAGGACTATTATAACAGAAAAGGATGGCATTCTGTTGTTCTACAGGCTGTTGTTGATGGCAGGGGGATGTTCTGGGATGTGTGTGTTGGTGACCCAGGTAGTGTACATGATGCTAGAGTGCTAAAACAATCCAATCTTTGGGTGGCTATCAGTGATGGAGTGTTGCTAGGCCAAAACAAAATGACCATCTCTGGCTGTGATGTGGGACATTACCTGATTGGTGACCCAGCCTATCCAATGCAAAGATGGCTGATGAAACCATTTTCGGACACCGGGAGACTGACCCCTGAACAGCACACCTACAATTACAGGCTGAGCAGTGCACGGTCGGTTGTTGAGATGGCTTTTGGAAGGCTAAAAGGAAGATGGAGGTGCCTCCTAAAAAGGAACGACAGTGAGCTGGAGCTCACCAAAATAATGACAGTGACTTGCTGTGTACTACACAACATATGTGAGGAACATAGCGACAACTTCACTGAATATTGCCATGAAGTTGTGTACAACCAACCCCTTTACACCCCTTTCCAGAGAACGGTAGACAAGGAGCTGACGTTAGATCTGCATTGGAATATTTCAACATGGGGGACCACTAATATTACTGCAGTTAAACCTGTTTTGTATCATGCCTCTTACAATAAAATCACTGGATCAGACTTGAATTGTGTTTTCTTTTGTATACAAATCACAGAATGTAGATAAACAGGTATGAACAATATTCTTATAAATAGTGCATACCCAAAAGGTTTAGACCAGGGGTCTCCAACCTTTCTTCACCTGAGAGCTACATTTATTCACATAGTCATAGGTTGAATTAAGCTACTTTTGTAAACATGTGAAATTGCAATCCCCAAAGCTTATCAAAAATCAATACTTCTCATTAAGGTCAAAGACAACGACAATTTCTCACATTATGGCCCACATACAGTAAGTACATCACTGAAAATTCACATAAATGTCCAAGAGAAAAATAAAATGTTATAAGACTTGACTTGTTTATTTTACATACAAATCAAAGAATGTATGAACAATATTCTTATAAAAATAGTGCATACCCAAAAGGTTTAGACCAGGGGTCTCCAACCTTTCTTCACCTGAGAGCTACATTTATTCACATAGCACTCATCGGTTGAATTAAGCTACTTTTGTAAACGTGTGAAATTGCAATACCCAAAGCGTATCAAAATAAAAATAAAATGTGTGTGAGTGTGTGCAGTCACCTGAGCTGCTGTGCAGATACAGCTGTGCTCAACATTCATCAGGGATTGGTTGCTCTCTCTTTGGATGTGTTATGAACAATTTAGTGCTAACCTCAGCTTTATGTCATTACATTTGTGCTGGGTAAGGGCACAGTACATTTGAGTGTTTCCTTCACTTAGATTTATGTCAGTATTTTATATCCTAACTTCTTTCTAAAGAGAAATAGGAATAAAATAAGTGTGCCTTGCTCCAGCTTGACAATGACACATTTATTTTCGATAACACAGCTAACGATTCCATTTAGCATCATTTTGTTTAAAGAATGCATGGCAGAATCAGACTTAGCATACAAGTAGTCATACTTGTCATCTACCACTGTTTTAGTTCAGTGTTTTATCATAGTGACATTAGCTAGTTTGCAGTGGATCACTGAAAAAATAGAATGTAATAAGACATGACTTTTGACTTATGTTTATTTTACATACAAATCAAAGAATCAGAAGTATGGACAATATCTGTACTGTATATTATATAATAAAGAGTATTTAAAAAAGAATGTATACAAAGTATTCACAAAAAAGTGTGGAGAACATACTGTATATACTATAACTAAGTGTATTTAAAAAAGAATGTACACAAAAGGGGCATGAACAATGGAGATACAAAAATAAGGTCATTGTTTGCTGTTGGCCTCCATCACATTCACCATCCTGTCTAACAAGCCAAGCTTGTGGCTGTCCTGCTCGGCCTTTGCGATTCTGGCGAGTCCGTCGATCCGGCTCTGCTCGATTCTGCTCTGTGACGTTGAAGATCCGTAGGAACTCAGCATTGCCGTTCTGCACCTCCTGAAGCATCGCCCGGCTATGCTCCAGTAGCTCTTCGTCCCTGGCGTCACTCCTCTCCATTAACGGGACAAGGCCAGATGACGAATCCCGCTTCCTTTTAACTACAAAGGGAAAAATAATAATGAGGTCAACACCGTGTTCATGGCATTCTATGAGGTGTAAATTATATACTGTGTAATTAAATGTTTTATTGTTATTATGGCTGCAGTTGCATAACTTGAACAACTACTACAATGACAATGCCATGATAAATGGCAACAGGGAACAGTATTACCATTATGACCACTGTAAACCTTACCCTGTTTGTTACGGCCCACTGGCTGGGTTAGGGTCACCAGAGATTCCTGGGAAGAGCTGCTTGTTGTGGCAAGAGACCCACGCATGTGCACGGGCGAGCTACACGCCGACGGTGGTGGTTCCGACTCACTGCACGCCAAACGAGATATGCCTGTAAACACAATATAAACACAATGAACAAAAGTAGCCCTTCAACAAATCATACATCGTTAGTGAGAAGAAAGAAGATACATTGGAGGCGTTCGCTGTCTTTGCCATGGGGATACCTTTGTTTATTATTGTTAGCATTAGCATGCTAGCGCATGGGTGCCCACCCGGTAGCTGTAGTAGGTAAACTTTAGCTATTATTGCCAGGTCTGTCTATAGCTACATGGTTTAGTTTATGTTGTAAAACAAAAAGGCACAAATCAGTAATGCATAACTCACCAGCATTAAATGACTCGTCCTCCAACCCAATTGACGAGAGACAAAGCGAATTCACGGTGGATCCCACACCACTCGTCGGTCTGTCTCCGAGGACCGAGTTTAGCAAGTCAAAATGTGGACTTGTTTTCGGACGACCGCTGCCACTCCGTCCGAGCTCTTTCTTTTGGTCCGGATAATCCTTCTTCAGTTTTTTCAATTTGTTGCTAATTTGTAAAATGCTACGGTCATAACCAGCGGACGCCATCTCTCTCTTCAATTGTTGCAGAATGGCTTTGGCCCGCGTGCTCCCCTCCAGCTTCCTCTGTACCTCTTCGGAAGACCAGATTGCCACTAGGTAGCTGGTCTCTTCAGTGGACCACTGCTGCTTATTCTGTGTTTTGAGGTCTTCCATCGTTGTGTACAAACTGGATAAAACGCAGGCATTTTGTTGTTCAGGAGGTTGACCATGAGAGACGTAAGCGACGCCGCGTCATAGCTCCAAAGCTCTTGCCTCGAGACCGACAATTTTTTGGAGCTGGAAGTGAACCACATTCCGGAGCTATGACGCGCCGCCGCTGCGGTGTGAACAGGAAAAAGCGCCGGTGTGAAAGGGGCATCAGTGAAAACACAGGTCTATAATTTTCACTGGGCAACTAACTGCTTCAATGAGGCATTTAAATGTATTGTAGCAACTCACCAGTTCCTGTAGAATCGACGCTTGCACTTGAAGGAACGCAGGCCACGGGGTGTGCTGACGTAACTAATAACAATCATGGGAGGGGTCTCAAGAATGGTCACAGCCTCAACCACTTCCTTCTTGTTCACCTCTGCAATAGAAAATAGTTTAGATATGAAGAACTTTCCTAGACTTATGACAGCAGTAGTATTTATTATATGGTATAGACTGCGCTCAGTGCTCGACATTCATCAAGGGGTATAAAACCCATTATGTCCGCCCGTCGAGGGGATCATCACAGGCAGTATTGAGGTCATCACAGTATTGAGTATTTTATGCAATGGGCGGAAAGCTTTTTTTTTCTCTCCAATTCCATTATGAAATGTCCATTTCTACATCACAGCTGAATCTTTGGACTGACAGACATCTCAATTGTTTTTCAGAAACTGGGCTGTTTTAGCCCAAATAATTGATCTATAATAGTTAGTTGCAAATTCATTTAAAATTAAACTCAGTCCACTCACTTGAGCCAGGTCGGTCGACCTCGCGGACGATGTGGGTCATGCCGGCCTTGTAGCCCAGGAAGGCGGTCAGGTGCACGGGCTTGGTGGGGTCATCCTTGGGGAAGCTCTTCGCCTTACCACGATGATGACTCCTCTTGCGGGGCAAGAAGCCCAGGGACCCGTGGCGGGGAGCCGAAAATGTACGGTGAGACTGGAGGGAGGAAAGAGTAAAGTTAGCCGGTTCATCCGCAGAGCTAACTGTGTATAAGTGCGGCCTAGCTCAACATTCAGCATAGAGGGTCTGAAATACAGCATGGTCGTATTTGGAATAACGCAAGTAAGTAGAAATGCGTTCCAATACAATAGTGGACAAGTTTAAAATCTGCGTTAGAATACAGGTCAATGTAATTAAAGTTAACCATGCTGTTAGCATGGCTAGCTTAACATGTGCACGCTTGTCGGACACCAAAAGGAAGACGCGGAAACTGTTAACACAAATATATGCATGCTATTGGTATACATTTTTCGTAAAAGAAAACCAATGTTCTTAAACTTAATAAATACAACTGGGCTCAGAGCCAGATGTCTCCAGAGAGTGAACAGGGAGCAAGCACAGACAGCCACTGCTCCCCTGCCTCTATGGGGTCACTATAGCACTGGAATGGAACCAACAGCTCATACTGAAGAAGAGCCAGATTACCAACAGTGCGGAGAAAAGATCCATTGAAACCAGATTTGACATCCGTCAGGATTATTGTAGAATATGTCGTTTAAAAAAGGGAATTACTCAAGTATAAATAGAGTAGCGGCCTTCATTGACTGCCATTTTGAAAGCAGCCGGTGTAGTTAAGTGTAAATACTAAAACAATGAAAACAAATATATCCATTCTAGACCGGGAAACCTTCTCTTGTCAGATCTGTCTGGATCTACTGAAGGATCCGGTGGCAATTCCCTGTGGACACAGCTACTGCATGAAGTGGACTCCAAGCTGCTCCTGCTGATCACTGCTATGCTGGAGCTGAAGATGGTGATACGGTCCTTCTTGAGTGGTCAAAGAAAGAGACTATCAATTGTTTGGCTATACTTTAGAATGATGCACATGTAGTCCATGTGTTGGCTCAGAGCAGCCAGATGTCTCCAGAGAGTGAACAGGGAGCAAGCACAGACAGCCACTGCTCCCCTGCCTCTATGGGGTCACTATAGCACTGGAATGGAACCAACAGCTCATACTGAAGAAGAGCCAGATTACGAACAGTGCGGAGAAAATAAAATTGCCTCCAAATTCTTAATTGATATTAAGACTTCTTAAATTGTATGGTATGCTGGCAAAATGTGCATACAAATAAGTATAAAGATCTTAGAGACTAAGAAAATACATTTAATGCAGAGGTATGCTTTTGTACAGCTTTCAGTACAAACTCTTACCATGAACGCCTTCTTCTCCTCCATGGTCTGGAAGCGGCCGTGGCCAAACTTGGAAGTGGTGTCGATGAACTTCAGGTCGATCTTCTCCATGGCACGACGGTTGGTCTGCACAAGCAGAGACTGGGAATACAAAAAAAAGAAGAAACAGAGTTTAACACTTGTGTTGGGAACGAAGTCGGTGATTTTATTTTAAGATATTCTTTAGAATAATTGACTCCCACCTCAGCAAGTTAAATTATACCAGGGGCACTCAACATCTGTATGGAACAGTCAAACATGTTTTATATGAAGCATTGCAATTTGTCCTTACCTTGCGCAGAGTCAGCACCCTCTTCTTGACTCCCACAACACAGCCTTTAACCATGATGAAGTCATTGGTCACATCTCCATAGTGGACAAATCCACCCTAAAAGAAGTAAAGTGAGTCACATATTCTGCTTCCAACAGGTCAATGTAATTACATTTAACCACACTGTTAGCATGGCTAGCTTAACATGTGCACGCTTGTCGGACACCAAAAAGGAAGACGCAGAAACTGTTTTTAACACAAATATATACTGGTATACATTTTTCGTAAAAGAAAACCAATGTTCTTAAACTTAATAAATACAACGTGTGGGCTCAGAGCCAGATGTCTCCAGAGAGTGAACAGGGAGCAAGCACAGACAGCCACTGCCTCAATGGGGTCACTATAGCACTGGAACAGCTCATACTGAAGAAGAGCCAGATTACGAACAGTGCGGAGAAAAGATCCATTGAAACCAGATTTGATATCAGTCAGGATTATTGTAGAATATGTCGTTTAAAAAAGAGAATTACTCAAGTATAAATAAAGTAGCGGCCTTCATTGACTGCCATTTTGAAAGCAGCCGGTGTAGTTAAGTGTAAATACTGAATACTAAAACAATGAAAATATATATCCATTCTGTTGGTATACATGTTCCTAAACTTAATTAAAACAACGGATGCTTAAGATGTGTAACAGATTCCTATACAGAGCGCACGAAGCAGGAAGGTAAACTCACCACCTTGTGTCCAGTCCGATTGAAAGAGGCCTACGTGATGATTCAAGCGACAGGCTGCTTCATTTATATATGTGTGGGGAATGTGACGTCATTGTCACGTGACGTGATCACATGACCGGTGACCGGTAGAATGTAAATTATAAAAGTTTTGCCGGTAAAACCTTTCTCTTGGCTGCACGCGCACCGTTTTCTCCCTCAAGGTAGGACTCGCGGGTTTAAGGTGGTTTTATGGTCTTTTCAATGAACCTATGGAAGGGTTTCAGTTTGGATTTGATTAGGGCGAGGGCAAGATACGTTTTCCCATCATGGAGGGAAACTCTTCAGACATTCAAAGCACGAGACCTGGTCTGTTACAAGCAATGTGTTTTTAATATGGCGTTTTACTCAAAGTTGTAATCGTTTTTAAGCAACTTGTACGTGTTTTGCGGAGTGTAGAAGTGCTCATAACCAGCCAAGCAACCCGGGAAACTGGCTATGGACGTTTGTTCACTTTATTCTAGCTTTTATTATTATTTATAACATCTGTTTTTTTGTTTAATCCATAGAGCTGAGTATGAGCGTTTCCCCTCCTGGATTGAGCCAGGAGGATCTATTACTCTGTCAAAGAAAGCCTGGTTTTTAACCTTCTTTTAATGGTGTATTGAATTGGTGTTTGAGCTGGCAACTTTTATTTTCTGTCAATAGTTTTCTTGTGTGCAGATTGTGGGCAATATAATTGACTAAGTGTTTGTGTTACAGGTTCCTCTCCTCTCCCTCTGTGGGGGAACCTTGTCTGCTTTCAGTGTAGGGACTGCACGGTGTGACACTTTAAAAGGGTGAGGAAACTAACTCTCACTGATATCATTTTGTAGAAGTTGTGCTTTGAGTATTTCTGTTTGTGTCCCTCACAGTTAGCAGGCATTGTGACCTAGTGGACCAGACCTGCCCATCTGAGGAGGGGAACCCCACCATGTAATAGTGTAAAGTATGTGTACCCGTTGACAGCTGCTGAACATTGACATGTTAACATGTATATTTGTGAAATAAAGCTGCTTTCTATTTGCTCATGAATGCCTCTGTTATTGTCCTCGTGAAGGGAAGCCCCAACATCTGCAAAACAACTTTGGATTTAGATTGAGGGTCCACAGGTTCCTCCATCCCCTCAACAGGAGTTGGTGTTGTCAGCTATTTAAAGGGGACCCCAGCCACAGTTAGCACATATGCATCAGAGAGGGTGTTTTCACTGTTGGCCTAATATATGATTGGTCAACTGAACTTGGCAACACTAAACACAACCACACCTTAACATGAGCAGAAACAGACTACCTGCTCACCTGGAGATGTCGCACTAAACCTTCTCTACATTGTTGACAAGGAGTAAATGATATGAAATCAAATGTTGGCAGTGCTAAACATTGCCAGACCAAAACAAATGTTCTTTCCAATCTCCAGATGATGTTGGTCAGGAGGGATAATGGTCTGTTTTTAAAACGCTTTCTAGCACGTGAAGACCAAGCTGCCCATCACACTAAAGCTTTGTAAACATTTCATTGAGTCACCACATTACCACAAATAATTCCCAGCTTGTGCAAAATGAAGATGAACGTTAGGCAAAAAAGACCATAAGCTTGTGTGGATATATCGTATAAAACATAATGTATTCATTTCAGGGAGACTTGTTGCTTTGTGTCTCGTGTTTCTTTTCATTCACAACTGATCGTCGCACTGACTTGCTCCTCTGCTGCCCTCCAGTGGCCACAAGGCACAACAGCTACTTTTACATTACAGCATGGAGCTCCAAAGCACTAAAGTATTTCCTTCTGAAAATACACTAAAGCTCTAAACATGGCACTTGAACACAAATATAAAGTATATACAATCAAATCAGGAAGATAGTACAATAGGAATGCTCTAATAACAGTGAGCAGAGATGTGTTTTGATGTGTGGGCATAATGTACAGGGTAATAGTCCAATGACTGCCACAAGGCCTTTCTATGACACTGAATAGGAACAGACCACAGCTCTGATTTAGGACATCTTGCTGACCAACAATTGCTGAATAGGTTTAACACAAATAATCTTTCAAATGAGATGTTTCTCAGAATAAAGAGAAATGATGTGTAAAAAAACTCTGCAATCCAGACGGACTCTTTTGCCTTTCTTAATGTTCCACCAGCAAAGCCTTGTACCCAGATGCTACATGACGACTAAGCTACATTTGAAACATTCAGCACTTTTCTCTAACTTAGAGGCTGCACTGTCTGCTGTTCAGCAACAGGTAAGGAGACTGGCTTCAAAGGGGAGATGTACTGTCTACGTGTATGAATAATGCATTGTTTCCTTGTTAATAAAGTGAACCATTATGTTGCATATATCACAAACACAAGGACTTTCATTCACAGTAAGTGTACATCTGTGTCTTGTGGCTAAAGGCACGTTAACAGAGTAACAGCTGAACAGTGACCTGGTTCAATAAGATGTCATATCTCCGTTGCCAAACACAAGCTATGCGAGATGCACAAACTGAGTGATGAGAATGGAAATCATTCCATGTGTGATCAAAACCGTAGTTGGTGTGGACAGTCTTCATTTCCATCATTGTTGGGCTCTCCTGAACTCTAAGAGACAAAGAGAATGAACCCTAACTTGCTCCTGATTGCATGGCGATCAGTGTGAGTGTGAACCTTCTTCTCCCTTAGCAGGTGCATGCACTATATGAATGTGTGTATCCTGCTGTTCAGCTTGACTTATGTCAAAGTCATTTGAGGGGTCACGAGAGTGGAACAGTGATATATAAATGCTGCCAATTGACCATATACACTATTTCTATCTCCTTCCCTCCTTCCTTTCCATGATCTTTCAACTGAAGCTGATACTCTAGTTTTGGGTTATTTGGGGAGTTTAAAGTTTAAAGTTTAAACTTGAATACTTGAATACCGGTATTCAACCCGGTGTGGTCCGTTTGCATTAGTCAACAATACAAGGATTGTGGGCACTTGTTTCACCCGGTTATTTTCCAGTACCTCTTCAATCAAATAACACAAAGGAAAAACATAAGTTTCACTTTTTTTAAATTGATCAACCAATGGTTTGAATAATTTAGATTGTTTTTGTTGGGAAACAAAAACAAATAATCATTAATTTGATATAAACATGTCTGTATTCACCATGCTGCCACTTTGAGTTTCACGCCATGCCTGAATATACTCTATGCAAGAACTATATTGAATAGAGTGCTATATATATATATATATATATATATATATACTATACTCTGTAATCTTAACTATATCTGATAACTCAAGCCCTCCTTTCGTTAAAACAGAGGATGAATGTCTTGTTTATCAGCAAATAGTACTGTTGAGTACATTTTAGGTTTGTACGTTTACGTCCATGTGAAAGATGAACATAAGTAGTGTCCCTGTCCATTAAACACCTTGTTCCCATAACCAGAAGATTAGTGATGGTACTTTTCCCAATAAATCATGTCGCCAAGAGGCCAAGACTACGCTCATCACTTTGAAGCATTCCTAAATCAAATCTGTGCTAAAGTTTATTGAACAAAACACAAACAATAACCAAAGCAGGACTATAGGGTCAACAGAAAAGAGCAAGTTCAGCCCGTTGGTCATCCACACACCAGGTGCCGTAAATACCTGACCACATCCATGTGATCATTGAATGATATACAACTGTGTGTGGTTCAAACAAATAAGTAGAATACCAGGAAGAATAAGCAACGGCAACAATCTGTGGATTAAAATGTAATAATAATGCATCAATATTATTTACTAAATGTATTGATATTTAAAAAAGGTGTAGAAATAATTCCTTTGATTAACCCCTGGAGCGACCAGTGTGGATATGTAACATTCATGAAAATAAAGGTTGGACAAAAGGACTTCTGTTCACACACATATACATCTGTGTCTTTATTGTGATCATGTTAACAAAACAGGTGAACACGTAACATCTCAGCTGCTAAGGACAAGTTGTGCGAGATGCACAAACTGAGGGGAAAGTATTTGAACAATGCCCATCATTCCACTTCCCCCTCCAGTTGTTGAGTACACAGTCTTCACCTCCTTGTGCCCTGTCGTTTGGTTGTCCACTATGCCAAAAGAAATACTTGACTGCACACCCATCAGACCACATCCATCTTCCTTCTTTGTGGACGTCACTGAGTCCGATCCATGTATATCCCTCAGCAGGGTCAGAGCCTTTGATCAGGAATCTGACAAAACGCTCTTCCTCTCTGCTGTGGATAGACACCAGGTTGCCTCCCTGGGACACACAGTAGAGCTCTGCATCAGCCCAGGTCGTCTTTGTGTTGTAGTACTGGTAGCAGCGGCCGTTGAAGGAGAACCAGAAGGAGGGACAGGTCTCTTGCTGGAGGAGCCCCGTTGGAGGGTCATCTGAAGAAGACACAGCACCCAGAGCCAGGCCCAACAGGAAGAGGAAAACCAGCATGATGATGATGATGATGATGATGATGATGATGTCACCGTCTCTGTCTGTTAAAGTTGCACTGAACCGTTGGATAGGAGGAGGATGGAGATTGTGAAGCTTCAAGTGACAGGCTGCTTCTTTATATATGTGTGGGAATGTGACGTCATTGTCACGTGACGTGTCACATGACCGGTGATCGGTAGAATGTAAGTTATAAAAAGTTTTGCCGGCAGTTTGAGAAAACCTTTCTCTTGGCTGGCTGCACGCGCACCGTTATCTCCCTCAAGGTAGGACTCGCGGGTTTAAGGTTGTGTTATGGTCTTTTCAATGAACCTATGGAAGTGTCTCAGTTCAGTTTGGATTTGATTAGGGCGAGGGCAAGATACCTTTTCCCATCATGGAGAGAAACTCTTCAGACATTCAAAGCACGAGACCTGGGGCCTCATTTATAAAGCTTTGCGTAGGATTCACGTGGGAAGGTGGTACGTAGGACAAAGCAAATACATAGGCCTACGCATAAGAATATTCCGTTTTATAAAACACTGCGCACGCACGTCCTACGCCGGTTTCCCTTTATAAATCACAATCAACTCGAAATGTGGCGCAGCTTTTGCGGGCTTCACGTAACGCCCATATTTGCCTATAAATAGTCAAAGAAACGCCCCGTATTAATATTCATGTTGACTGACTGCATGAAGAAGATCGCAGGAAATGAGGACAGAACAGCAAAAAAAGACATTTCACACCGAGTCAGATTTTGGTTCTTTTTGGGAGGTCGAGACAAATCACATTGTTTGGTGGAAGCAGTTTGAACCAGAGTAGCAGCATGGAGGTCGGATCGTCACCTAAATAAATAAGTGGTCCGAAAAGAGTGAATATCAAAACAAATACACATAACCTTCCTCAGGCAGTGTGTCAGTGTGTTTGTGAATATGGTGTTTTACTCAAAGTTGTAATCGTTTTTAAGCAACTTGTAGGCCTACGTGTTTTGCGGAGTGTTGAAGTGCTTTTTTAGTTTTATTTTCTGTCAATAGTTTTCTTGTGTGCAGATTGTGGGCAATATAATTGACTAAGTGTTTGTGTTACAGGTTCCTCTCCTCTCCCTCTGTGGGGGAACCTTGTCTGCTTTCATTGTAGGGACTGCACGGTGTAGTGTTAATTTCGTCAGCTATTTTTTAATTTAGTTTTAGTCTTAGTCCTGTGTTAAATTTCCTTTTTCGTTTTAGTCATATTTAGTCACCTTCATCCTGTTTTTATTTAGTCAAGTTTTAGTCGACTAAAAGTCTGAGCATTTTAGTCTTATTTTAGTCGACTAAAACAGTAACTATTTTAGTCAAGATTTAGTCGACTAAAAGTCTGAGCATTTTAGTCTTATTTTAGTCGAAGAAAACTAATTATTTGAGTCTACTTTTTGTCAATGAGAACTGTTGAGTCTTTTTTAGTCATCAGATTATATAGAACATTTCAGTCAAACTAGTCTAGCCAAAACCAATAATTTGTCATTTTAGTCAAACTTATTTCACAATAAGATTATATCTAGTCCTTATTTGATGAAAAACACAGGTTGAATGATTAAGAATGCAGCTTTGCAGAGAGTGGTCAGGTTTGTGGTGTTAC